TGCAGAACGGATTCATGAGACCAGGGTTATTGGTGGTCGAGGCGAGGTGCAGAGCAAGGTAATGCATGTTGTGCATGTTCGAGAAAGGATGAGTGTCTCCACGGCAGGTGGTTATTGGTCGAAGACCTTGTGGTGGTTAGGAATTCTTCAAGGTTATAATGGTGAATTCGAGGGGGGTTGACCCGTAAGGTTAGTTGAGCAGTTGAGAATTTCTGGTGCAATGTATGGGTTGGTATTTGTAGTTGGGAAGGGCAGAAGTTGATTAGGCAACCAACTTCTGGGTTGTTATGAGTATGCTCGCATGAGTTCTGAGCATTATAGGAGGGAGTTTCAGATTGTCGTCAACATTTTCTGAGTCATTGACTATTTCTGCGTGTTTCAAATTGAGAATTGGAATACTACGAAATTTCAGGTTGTGTGACAGGAAGATCGGTGGTGAAAGGAATTCTGCAGGGATGTGTTGCGTATCAGAGTATGATGTCGTAAATAGGAGATCAGTAGCTGAGGCAAGACATCGTGAGGTTCTGTGATGGTGTACCGAGGTATCCGAGTTTAATGCCTTGAATTTCGGATTTTTTTGGGTCTTGAGTTTGAGACGGAAAGTGGTGTATCAAGTATCTATGGTTCCAGTGGGAGCCCTCCGGCTAATGGCAGCAAGTGAGGTTAATTAAGAAAATGGATTGCAGCGAGAAAAGGGGTTTGGTCGTCACGGTTGCCTTCAGGAATTGTGATGCATAATTTGGATAAGTGTGAAAACCTATCTATGTTGGTCCGCGCAGCATGAGTTAGTGGACGCAGTAGGGTGTTGTGATGCTACGGGGAGTCGTAGTACTCACTAGTCAGTGAGAGGTTGTTGTGATGTTGCGGGGAGCCATAGTACTCACTAGTCAGTGAGAGGTTGTTGTGATGTTGCGGGGAGCTGTGGTACTCACTAGTCAGTGAGAGGTTGTTGTGATGTTGCGGGGAGCCATAGTACTCACTAGTCAGTGAAAGGTTGTTGTGATGCTGCGGGGAGCCGTGGTACTCACTAGTCAGTAAGAGGTTGTTGTGATGCTGCGGGGAGCCGTAGTACTCACTAGTCAGCGAGAGGGTGTTGTGATACTACGGGGAGCCGTAGTACTCACTAGTCAGCGAGAGATTGTTGTGATGAAGTACTATCTGATTAGAGCATGACGCAGAAGAGTTTTAGGATTGGGCAGCCCTAATATTTGAGTTTTTGGGAGCCTGGTGGTCGAACCAGGGGCGAGACTGGGGTCTCCATATTTGTCAGGAATCGTTATATTCTGAATTGAGTTGTGGTTGTCGCAACCAAAGGGAAGTGGAGAAGTGGTATACACGCGGGTTGCGGGTCATGAGTCATGAGTTGAGTGCTTCATTGGGACGAGTGGTTCCAACTCTGGGTCAGAACAAACTCTCGAGTTTGAGTTTGGCTCTGGTGGTGCGTTGGGTAGGCGAGATGAGATTCTGGATTCTGAGGTGGGTTCCATGTTGAGGGGTATTGTTTGTCTTCTGATGTCTTAGACCTGTGTAGGTCAGTACTCGAGTACGGGAGGTACCGCGAGATGCATGGAACTATGAGCAGTAGACGACAGAGGTCGGGGTTGAGTCGATCTTCAGTTGGGATTGTAGTATTCGTTTGGGGTAAAGATGACTTCGTGACTTGTGTGTCACAATGGACCGAGATAGTTGTTGTGAGAAGGAAGGCGGAGAGACGTGTCGGGCATGTAGTGGGTAACCTTTGGAGGTCCAACTGAGGGGTCGAGATTAGACCAGGTGCTAAATGTTAAAAAGAGATATCTGGGGGAAAGTGAAGGATTACGATTTTTAGATGTTTGAGGACTTCTGAGCGAGCAGGATCATTTTTGTTCTTGTGTCGGAGAACAGGGTGTTGAAAGTTTATTGTTCGGATGGGTTCTGATAGTAGTTCAGTGGATGAGCCCCTAGTGGGATGTGAACCCTTTCGTTCCTTGGGGCGTGATTCAGATCGTTTTGTACGTTTGGTATGAGTAATCGGTAGCCGATTGTTGGATTTTGTCTTGTGAGAATCAGAGGAGCAGTGAGTTATCAGGGTTTGATGTTCGAGGAGCGAACAACATGGTGATAGCTTAAGTGGGCGGTCTGGCAGCGGGCCAGGACACTAGAGTTTCCAGATTTTGGGAAGGTCAGAAAGGGGTATCTTAGCGGCAGAGGGTTGGTTTTGTTTCGGACTTGGGAATTTCTGTGTGGATTCAGGTGTCCATGGATAAAGATATCGGTGTGGTATGAGATCCTTTCGGTAGTGTCTTTCGGGTTGCTGGATTCAATCTATGTGTGGTTAAGGAGCGATGTCGAGGGCGAAATCTAATTCTAGTGGGGGAGAATTGTAACATCCGGTTTACCAGGTAAATTGTTTTAATTATTTAATTTAAGGATTTTGGACGGACTCGACGAGTTGGTGCCTCAACTCGTCGAGTAGGGTCGCGACTTGGTGACGTGTTAAATGGATGGACTCGACGAGTCGGGTATCTGACTCGCCGAGTCAGCGCTGCTGAGGAAAACCCTAATTGTCCGGGTTTGTTTATGGCCTTCATTTGCGGCCACACTTTCCCTTGAGAGACCCTATTTGATCCAGAGAGCATAGAGAGAAGGAGGGGGTAATTTCATCATCTTGGTGCATTCTTGCAAGGAAGAAGGATGCTGTTCAAGCAATATCAACTTGAGGGGGCTCAGATCTGCTGCTATTCCATTAAAGGCTGCTGTTTAAGGTATAAATCTATACCTATTTTTGTATGGTTAGTAGATCTCATGAATTTAGGGTTTCTTCACCCTCTTTTAAGTTGAGTTATAAAGTATGTGAAGTCCCTTTGAGGCTTAGACATCAGACCTGGACCTTGAGAGGTCCAGAGAGTCCCATGATCCCAGCTTTATGCAGTCACATAAGAGTATTGAGCCTAAACACCATTAAGAGGGTCATTTTGTCAAATAGAGCTAGATATGTGATGCATGAACATAAAGGCTGGACCTTTACGTGACTTTTGGATGCTAGGAGGTTGGATCTATAAGCTAGAGTCACAGATCTGACCTCAGGTGGCTAAATAAGAAATCCGATGGAGCCAACTCGCCGAGTCCATGGGATGACTCGACGAGTCGTAGCAGGTGTGACCAAGTAGCCTGGACCCAGTGTTAACTCATCGAGTTGGGAGTCAACTCAGTGAGCTGAGTGAACCCTAGGAAGAACGTGGAGAATACAAGTGGACTCGGCGAGTCACAGGTGTGCACTCGGTGAGTCAGGTCAATCTTGGTTGTTGACTCGGTCTGGCTTTCTGTTGACTTCCTGGGTGAGTCAATAAGGGGCAGGAGGGACCAAGGAGGGGTAAAATAGACTTTTACCCATCCCGAGGGTAAAAATGGGAAAAGAGGACTTAAGGAGTAAATGAGTAATAAAGCGAATAATGATTGAGATGCTTGTCTAATGTGTAGGCAGAGGCTAGTCCAGGATTTTCGAGTGCTGTCTATTACCTACTAGCCACCACGTGAGTCTTCTCACTATACTTTACCTAGAGTGGTAATTGTGTGTGACTAGAGGGTCCTATGTGCTTGTTTGAGTTATGCATTTTGTCTGTGTGATTTTATGCTATGTGCTATATAGACCGGACCGGAGGGTCCAACGAACTATGAGGCCGGAAGGCGCTCAACCAGACCGGACCGGAGGGTCCAACGAGCTATGACCGGACCAGAGGGTCCAACGAGCTATGGGACTGAAGGGTTCCACTGAGACACATTGACCGGAAGGTCTTACAGAGCTATAGCCTCGAGTGGCTAATTACTTGTGTGTGGTATTTTGGGGAACTCACTAAGCTTCGTGCTTATCGTGTTATGTGTTATGTGTTTCAGGTTTTCTCAGGATCGCGGGACGACACCGGCTTGATTGTACACACCAGAGAAAGAATTATGTTTCGAGGATCCTGGATTATTAACTGATTAAACTCGGAGTTATGCTATGTAACTAAATAAATGATGTTTTATGAAATGTGTTATGAAGATTATATGATTAAAAATGAAAATTTGGTTTTGAAAATTCACGTCGTGACATTATTTCTTTCTAACAAAACGGAAGTAAAATGTTATTTCTATCATTTAATTTTTGTTAAATACAAAAAATAACAACTTACTTTAATCCTAGATTCATATCTTCTACATGATCCAAAAGAAGCCATCTTTCAACCTTTACTAGTAGAAGATTTGTTAGTTGATAGTTACAATTAATCTTATATTTTTTTTAATGTTATCCGTGTTAACAATATCTTTTAGTTATGTACTGTATCAACTTTCGATATAATATAAACAAGTATCAATTTTTATATACAATTTCGTTCATAACTGAACACAACATAAAAAAAATAATAAATAATAAAATAATAAAAAATAAAAAAAACAAAAAAAAAAAACTGCTACCCATGCGAAGCATAGCCCTTTTCTAGTTAATTTTTATTTTTAAGTTGTGTCAAAATTTAAAAAAGAAAAAATAAATAAATGTTTACACTTTTTGACCCGTATGCCACTTTTACGGCTTTAACCACTAATAATGTAAAAGTGAGATTCAATTTCCACCACTTTCGCATTTTGGCCCATATATTAACTTTTTAAAAGTTACTTTAACTAATAACCTTCAATAAAAACACAAACCATAGCAAATAACAGTGAACTTTGTCACTAAAAAAATATAGATAACGCTCTTTTTTATGATAATAATTAATTTGTATTTTTCTATGGAGTTGCATAGTATACCAATTTACATTTTGTTATATAATATTTATCGAATTTGGACCAAAAATTATATAAGGATGTTTATTGATAATTGGTCCAAAATTTAATGTCATCTCACAGCATTTTCATGAAGAAAACGTTTGCCACATCACCCACCCTATCTTCTTTACAAAAACATCATTCTCCTGGATATAAATCATAAGGCAAAGATTTCAATCTCATCAACATTTCATCACTAAAACCATAAAAAAAAAATGCCCACAATATCACCATCTTCTACCTCTGATCCTGCAACTTCTTCATTTATCCCTGGAAAAATGGCTACAAAACCTCCGGTTGAGATAGGGACGAAAGGAACAGTCGGGTCACTCATAATCCAAGAAATCGAGTACTTCAACAGGCTCGAAATCCCAGTAGCAGCTCAAACACGCAAAAATGGCAGACACACTAAGCCAAGAAGAAAGAACAGGTTCGTACCAAGCATGTGTTCAGCCATCGAAGTGGAAAATTACAGTGGTACGTTACAAAAACCCTAAAAGATTATCGATTTAGCTATTGGTTTCTGAAAGCTTGGAGAAATTAAGCTTCTTGAGTCGATTTGTTATGGGGTCGGGCATCCTGCACTTTATGTCCACCACTTCAACAATATAAGAACCCTTTCGTCTATTAGGATTCCGGCCACTTTTTCTCGTTTTGTGGGTTTTGGTTTTCCGGCAGGTGTCGGTGTTCTTTTCGTTTGTATTGCTGCTGTTGCTTGAGCTTGCTTCAATGGCGGAATTTGAAGATGCATCTTCGACTGTGTGTAATTCTCTTGACATTAAGGCACTTATTGTACCGGTGGTTCCAATTTTGATGGATCCTCCGCCACCCTTGATAGATTCGAGTTCTGGAATCATGTTTTACCACCAATCTTGATCGATAGTGAATTGCTCACGAACCTTAAATTTGTACTTAATCACAAGTTCTCAGCCTCTTTAAAGCTACAAGTTTCCAGAAATGGAAGTAATAAATACATGACACGTAAGAAGATGAGGTTTGTTGATAAACTAAACATAATTATCGTGAAATTAACAAGTTATGCACTACCATTATAAAACAAAATTTTGGGTATCCACCACAATAACAATAACAAAAAAGGATCATATTTTATGGTACAGAATAAATTAATAACAAAGCACGTAATCGTGATTTATGGAAAAAGTACGTACTCCTAAGTACCATCTTTCTTGGTGTATTGTGTATGCATAAATGTTTTCAAAATGATCGTTGTGATTTCAAGAATTTAATTCAGAATAAAATGATGTTAAATTGGGGTTGTAAAACAGGGTATGTTGATAAATCAAAACCTGGATATCTGTTACATCGAGAATGTACATTTTCGTGAATTATATTTCGATTGTTACATGAAATTAGCGCGACCATAATCCAGAAAAGAACTTTGTTTTCTTAGGCACAAAAAAAGAAAGCAACATACCAAATTATGTGTATGGAAAGTTTAGATTCCTAAGAGAGTAAGAGACCAATATGTGGTGTATTTTTAATATATTGCTAGTTTGGCAAACAGTTTTTGAAAGCTTCTAGCTTTTAACTTTTTTTTTTAAAACTCGAAAAAAAACTTCATTAAATAGTAGAGCTTCTAGCTTTAGCTAAAACAAAAAGTTTTGAATCTAATAAGGTGCCACCTTGTGGGAATATAATCCCTAATTCTTTTTGGCACTACTCATATGAATTCAAACTAAACGAAATAATATTTTGGCAATGAATCATTATAATGTGATCAAACCAAACTGACTGAAACCGAAACCGACAAAATATTGTTTCATAATGTCTAAAAAACAGAATACATGCTTAGTTGCTTATTAAAATAGGTTATCAAGAGTAATGTCACATTGATATCGGTTGCAAAAAAACTGATACTCAAAGGGTAAAGCAACATCACCTATATACATTATACATAGTGCTCTTATTTATTTATATTTTTAAAAATCTGAATTCTACAAACCTTAAACTCTGTTTGTTAAAAGCGATTATTAAAAATACAACCTAATAAAATGCATCTAAAAACCGTTTCTTCTATCATGTTATAAAAGTTAAATATATGATTCTAACTATTCAATATCTTCAAAACACCACACTGATAATGCTCGAGAGATAAATCTAACAAAATTCACCCACTTGAATAATTCAAAAGGTTGAAAATCATCAAGAAAAAACTTGAACATTGCACAAAATCATTTAAGGTAATATGAACGAAATTAGTTATCATCCTCGGTTCCAATCAAATGCAAAGAATGACATGTTAACTATTACCCTATATATAAAACTTTTTGTTCATTTCAAGTCATTTGTTGGTGAATTCAAACTTTACTGACTAAAGTAGAAACTGGAACAAGATTGGTGGCCATTAAATGCAATTAACCCTAATTAAAAAAGTAGGGTGAGGTGGATGAAGGCACCAAACTTAATCTTTAACCAATGGCATTCAATATATTTGGGACAACTTCAATAAACACCATAATTAATCATCAAATTTGAAGTGCAGAATTGATGGAGAACTACCTTTAAAACCCTAGTGCCCACTTTTTAAATCGATCTTAAACCACATGCCATGGGTGAGAGTGTGTGTAAATGTGAAGAAACAGTGGGGCAAAATAAAGCAACATAAAGAAGATAAAGAATCACAAATGGAGACAGGAAACCCCATTAATGAGTCACCTTCTGGTAGCTAAGCATCAAGAAACCATTTTTAACAGGTTGTGAAAAGGGAAAACCCAAGAAAAGCTTACCAAAATGCGAAAAGTTCTAATAGAAGAATCTTTTATGAAAACCTTCAAGAAGAAGCTCCGGATATTTTTTAATGTATGCGCTGCTATCAGAAAAACCAGGGAGAAAATCAAGAACAAGATCCGACAAGAAATGTGCCCTTGCATTTTAATGGACCAAGGACCCCTTTTTTTTTATGGGATAATATGTAATCGTACACCCTCTCATTTAACGTTTTTTTTGTCAAATTAATTAATGGGGTTGTACATCGTAGAATAATATTAATTATATATTATATATATATATATATATATATATATATATATATATATAATTAAATCTGAAGGACCTTATGAATAGTAACTTTCCATGTTTTTGGTTTTGACCACAAAACTTTATATGCTTTAGGTTTTGGCCACAACAAGTTTGGGAAATTGATAATTTTAATCCTTGGATTGCTTTGTTTTGTAGTTTTGGCCACAATAAGTTTGGGAGGTTGACAGTTTGGGAGGTTGACAGTTTGGTCCTTGGATTGCTACCGTCTTAATATTTACTTAAGCAATCCCTGCTTTAAAATTATGTTTACATAAATGGTCCCTATAATTTATAGAAATGGTCCATATATTGATAAAAAATTACAAAAACGGTCGCTTTGTGATTTACACTTTTATCACATATCTTTTAAATTTTTTCGATTTTCACCAAAAGCGGCGTAGCCGCGCTTTGTTTACTAGTTTAAATTAAAAGGATAAGAGTAAATTACACAAATGGTCCCTATGGTTTGGGGTAATTTGCACGTTTGGTCTCTAATTTATTTTTTAACTCGGAAGGTCCCTACTTTTTGTTTTTGTTGCGCATTTGGTCCCTCTCTTACCTAAAAATACTATTTTGCCCTTGATTATTTAATTTATTTAAATAAACATATCTCTAACTTCACTTCAATTTCACATTATCTTACCTTACATATACCGTCTTATTTAAATAAATTAAAAAATCAAGGGCAACATAGCCTTTTTAGGTAAGACAAGGACCAAACGCGCAACAAAAACAAACTATAGGGACCTTCCGAGTTAAAAAAATAAGTTAGGCACCAAACGTGCAAATTACCCCAAACCATAGGGATCATTCATGTAATTTACTCAAGAGATAATGACTGGTAATATATTTTTCGATTTGTACACATATGGTCACTGAGTTTTTTTCGTCCACATTTGCCCTTTCAACTTGTTTAATTGTACACATTCGGTCCTTATGATCGGCTATTTCAGGTAAACCGGAAAAAAATGACTTGATAAGGTAATATATTTTTCACTTTGTCCACATTTAGTCCTTATTTTTTTTTTGCACATTTAGTCCTTAATATTTTTTTGTTGCAAAATAAGTCATTGTTGTTTTTGTACACATTCAGTACTAATGACCAGTTTATTTAGGCTTTTCCCATGTCATCCTATGTGGGGCAATCATTAATGAGGTGTTTGGGGTTGTTCATGCTTATGGCCACCACGTCGTCAACCGCTTGATTGCTTAGGTCTTGCGTTTCGCTTAGGTCTTGTGTTCTAAACGTCATAACTTCTTCATACGATCTTGGATTTTAACAGTCTTTATATCCATGCGTTCGTATTTGTTGTGTTCAGAACGTCGTAACTTCTTCATGCGATCTCGGATTTTAACAATCTTTATATCAACGCGTTCGTATTTGAGTCTACTACAACTTTCATTTAGATTATTCCCGTTAAAAGGTAGTAATATATTTTTACTTATGATCTTTGTTAGAACAAAGTTCTATTAGTATCGATAGATTCTATGCAGGCAAACAATTAAGGACGTAATTATGAACACAATAATGGCTTTAAAGATGTCGTATGATTAATGCTTTAACACCTCAGAAGAGCTCGATTAAGAACTTTGACTGTAGAGGTGCTTAGGGTTACAAAACAATAATAATGATAATCAAGATCGTATCTAATGCATACATGCATGCACTATTTATAGTCTAACCCTACTAGATAATCACGGATGGACAGGCCCAATCCGGATATACAAAACAAGCCCATGACACAACATAATAAGACTCAACAATCTCCCCCTTTGCGTCAATGGAGCCGAAAGCTCACTTCGGTTGAGCTGCAGAAGACTTCTTGATTGTCTTGAACACCTTCGGTATGATGGCCAATAGATGATGACGAAACGTAATGTACCACCGAAGCATGTCCGTGAAGTTCTTCTTGTCTGCTTCTGAATTCTGCTTGCACCGATGGATGATATTGATAATGTTCTCTAAGCAGTCTGTTGAAAATAGATGTTTATAAACAAGAGCGAACAGAAAACGATTGGCTTCACCTCTTGTAAACATTACAGTAAGATGTGTAGAATCGATTTGGCCCATCCTCATTTTGTTCACATCTCCTGGTTGTTGGATAAGGTGTCTAAGTCCATAACTTATTTGGTATATACTTGACCCGACACGGCATGGTCCATTTGGGTTGCACTTCACCCAAACTGTTTATGGATAATTTTATGAGAATTGTATACTTACGATTTATTAATATATTATAAGTTATAATATATTAATATAAAGTCATGTTATTTAATTAGTTTTAATCTTGAATTAATTATGAATTGATTTAGTGATTAAAAGGAAGACTAATTAAATCATGGGCTATTGTATTTATATGGTGTGGGCTAATGCTCATTTGTTAATGGGCTAAGCTTATATGGAAGTCCATGGATGATCCATGGAGCTTTTAACCCATGGATCCTTGGAAGAGGAAAAGACATGGGTTATTAGGGTTTCACCCTAACCATGTACACTATATAAACAAGCTTATGTTGCATGAAAAAGACACTAATGTGTGTGTAAGTGTGGTGGCCAAAATCAAGAGTTAGTATACTCTCTCATACATTTTCCAAGTTTGTGGTGATTTGTGATTTCCATTTGAGGCATTCACATTATTGGTGCTTGGCTCTCAAACTCCAAGGAATCAACAATCAACAAAAGGTATGTAACTCATCTAGTTCTTTTATGTTTAAAAGTACCCCATGCCATGCTAGATAGGTTATAAACCTTGGAAAATAATATTTTGCATGTATCTTAGACAAACATAGATCCAAGGTTTAATAGGGTTGCATGTAC